AAACAGACAGACAGACAGACAGACAGAGAGACAGAGAGAGACACACAGAGAGAGAATTCATAGGACGTTTTCTAAATTCCAGGCACTCCTCTAGATAACATACTTATATTTCACTCTCTTATCCTCTTGTGAGCACTATTTTATGGATGTCAGAGATGAGGAGTGGTTGGCAAAAGGCCACACAGCTTTCATTGTCAAAACTTAGATTTATATCTAGATATTGCAAACATCAAAGTGTAGACTACGGATCATATTATCAACTATACATATTGTGCGGTTATTGATATATTTTATACTGCTAGATCTATAGGTTTTTAGAACTCATTTAGTATTGGCAGTATTTCCATTTCATACTGGTTTTGTACCTGACTAAATTTTTAGAACTGAGCTACCTAAGCAGACAAACACTGAGACTGCTCTTAGCAATGACACAAGAGCTCTGAAACTACTCAGCTCCTAGAGATGAGAGAATGTCCGTCCAGTTTCAAGTGCGGCCTCACCAGCTCTGTGCAGGCACTGCTAACGTAGTGAAGGGGAACACAGCAACTCTTCGTGGGAAACAGCTTCCCTCTCTGTGGTGGTGCACGTCCGTGATCCCAGCACGCAGGAGGCAGCAGAATAGGTGTTCAAGGCTAACCTGGCCTCAGAATGAGTGCAAAGCCGATGTGAACCTTATAGCATGACAGCCTCAGGGAAAAAAAAAAGTTCAGTTTTCAAAACTGAATTCTTTTTAATTTTTTCTTTCCTTCCACTTATAGAATTTTTCAACGAGTCAGCCCACTTACTTTCTTGTGTTTTTAAATATTATGTTGTCACATGTCTTAAATTACTATCACCATTCAGGATCCCAATTTAATTAATTAATTAATTAATCTATTTATTTTGAGGTACCAGGGACTGAACTCAGGACCTTACACTTGCCAGACAAATGCTTATTCTACTGCAGGATCCCCCCCCCTTTTTTTTTTTTTTGTGAAACCGGGGATTGAACTCAGGCCTTTGCACTTGCCAGGGAAGCACTTATTCCACTGAGCCATCTCCCCGGCCCCAAGGATCCCCATTTTAATGGTTGCCCACTAAATGCAACATTGCATTGGCTACTTTCACTGAAGTTGCTTTATGTTGTAGCACCAGAGAGGAGACCATTGTGTGGGATGTGTCCGAGCACTGGGAGATGAAGCATCAGGGCAGCATGTCCCCTGCTAACTTAGCTCCCGGACACCTACTACTGCGATTGCTTGGGTAGTACTTTGCAGTTTTCCAAGAGGTTTTCATATATGCTATTTGATCTTTTCAACAACAGACTATTGAAGAAGTTGGGAATTTTTCCCATTTGGTAAGCTAGAAGGTTTAGAATAAGAGCATTCGGGGCTCTCTCTGCCCTAGAGTGACCATGTTGGATCAAACTTTCAGTTAGGGCTCTACATGGGTGCCTGCCCTGACCTCTGATTTCAACCACGTGGTTAGACTCCTGCCTTGAAATTCTCTCCTGATGTTAGATTTAAATAAGTATCGAAATATTTGTTTTACTGCATGTTTCCTTTTTTATGGATCCTAAGTAAATGACAAATTTTAATTCTTTAAAATTCTTTATGATGGGGCCGGGGAGATGGCTCAGTGGAATAAGCACTTCCCTGGCAAGCGCAAAGGCCTGAGTTCAATCCCCGGTTCTGGAAAAAAAAAAAAAAAACAAAAAACAAACCTCTTTATGATCTCACTGAAACAACTACAGAGTAGTGTCACTTCACAGGAAAGCTTTGATGATTCGAAATGACCAAGAAATCTGTTTTTCTGGTCAATTGAATTTTCTGGATAATTCAAATTTAAAGACATGAGCTGTTTTTTGTTATAAACCTTGTTGTTGGAAAAAATCTCTGTAAGTTATTTCAGGACACTCCTGTGACCAGCTTTACTAACTTATGATAAGAAAAGATTTTTTATGCTGTGATAACTTGTGAAATATATGCCTAAAACCATATTAGGTGAAAGAGTGCTTCTGAGAAAGTCCTGAAGTGGGACTTTTAATGCCTCTTTCAGTTTTATCTTCTGTTTTATTTCTGGATTAGAATATGGAGCAAATTACAGATGTTGATATAAACAGTGATTAATTTCTAGTTAATAGAGATTTTATTATTTTGAAACATATTAAAATGCCAAGGTACATTACTGTTGTTTATTTCTTTTATTCTTGTACTTTTCTACTGAATGTTGGGAATTTTTTAGAATTTTGGATTACTCCTTCACAACAAAGTAGGGTATGCTAATCCCAGAATAGACAAACATCCTATTTAAATGCAGGAAGAAAATACTAAAGCTTCTAGTTTAATACACATACAAATATTTTTCAAAAATTTATTTGCCTAAAATAATAAATATTAGGGCCAGAAATTCATGTGCCCCAGTCATAATAGGATTGGCTAGCTTATTTGAGACAATACACAGGGGCCATGAAGATGACAAAGGGATTAAAACCCGCATTTAAGAGAACTCTGCTAATGAACTTACAAAACTTTCTGTCTAGTCGTTTTATAATTATAAACTAAAAAAAGGTTTTTACTTACCAGATCCTTCTGCTAATGTCTCAGTAGCTGTTCAAAAGATATCAAATCAATGGTATGTGAGATGCTGAGGTCCCCTGGACCTTATCTTTGTCATTTTTATGGGAAGTCACTATTGTCTACTTGATACAAATCTTTGACTATATTCATAGTCATCCTATTGTGATTATTTGGCCCATGCATGTTTAATTGTTTCTTCAGCTTTGTCTCCTCCAGACTCAAAGCTATATGTCTACCCAAGATGAAAATGCCTGGTGTCTATTGAGGGCCTTTAGGTTGAACCTCTAGAGAGTATCTCTGACTGCTGGAGAACAACTACGACCCTTTTCAGCCTGAAGAAGCCAGAGCAGGCATAACCTATAGTTCTCTCATGGCAGTTCAGGTTAATTTTTCAGAGGGGGGGATGTTGTAGGTAATTGAAATTAGATAGAAATATTATAGTCAGTCAAACAGGGCTAGGCCCTCAAGGAGGCAAGATGGAAGACAAGGTCACTTTGCAACTTGGAAGAGACAGACACCCCAATATGGGTCACACCTCAAGACCAGGACAAAAGAGAAAGCACAGCTATATAATTCCCTAGGGATGGGCATCAGGGATTGATATTCTAAATAGGTATCAATTACCTTGAAAGAGCTCAAATGAGTCACTAACCCAACCCTCAATAGGAAGAGACCCTTTCCCATATTCATACCCGCTTGCTACGTGACTTGCTTCCTCATTTGGTCCTGGATTTAATCCATTTTACCTGAGCAATGGTGCTTGTAATCCATTGTTGGCCATAATTTTGTCCCACCTCATGTCCACCTAAGCAAGTTCCCATGTCTTCTCCACCACCTTAGACCTGCCTCACCACAGAAGTCTCTGGAAGAGATAGCTTCCTGGGGACAACCCACTCAGCACCCCCCTTCTGTCCCTCTCTTGGACAGGAGTTTTCTTTCCTCCCAGTAAATATATTCTGCTCATAAAAATAATAAATATTTCCTAAAGAGTACGTAATTACAATTGCTGCCATGCAGATGGACTTACAGACCCAGCACTTCTAGAGCACTGTCATATCAGAGATGATGCTGAATATGGTGAAAAACACCAATCAAACATGTAAGAAAAAAACCCAAAGGAATAAGGCTGGGCTGTGTCAAGTATATAAACTGGTAAGACTTTAATTTGTGAGTCTAAAATCGATTTCATTTTGAAACAAAGGAAAGGCCCTAAAGATTTCTTCCTTGATATTGTACCAGAAAGCTAACCTCAGAGAGTAAAATTGGCCTTCCATCTTTGACAATTAGGTGCATAAAAGAAAATATCAAGCAGCATTTGAAATAGTTTTAAGTAACTTACATACTGAAGGGAAACAATAGCTCTTTGAACTGAAGTAACAACTTGAGTTTCCTGGCTTTTAGGTTATTATGCTGTGGTACGATATTAATTTCTCTGTAGAGGCTAGGTGTCATATCTACATGAGATGTATTCAATCTACTATACAACAGAGTACTTAAATATTCTTTTTTCTCATAAGTTGGACGTATTTATATGCAGATTCTGCGTCACATATTTTATGCAGTGACCTCCAAAGTGAGTTTCACTCATGTGTTCTTCATAATTTTGAAGTGTCTCCCTACCCACCTGTCGCCTCTCTTACTTTCAGGGGTCTATGGGAAGTTCCAGCTCCACAGTGCTTATCCTAAGAAGCCCTGGACGCACCTTGCTGCTGATATTGCCCCGGGGAATGATAGGTAAGGAGTGAATAGGGCTTTGGGTTTACTTTGTTATAGCATGACATTTAATTTTAAATGTAATTCAAGGCTGGCTAGACAAAAAAGGGATATCAGGGATTTGAAAATTCTTTATAACAAAACATGCAGGGGTGGGGGTAGAGCATCATTTATTCCAGGAGTAAACATTACATAATATATGTTTATTGTTTTCAGTAAAATCTGAAAAAATGTCAGGGGCCTGAGATAATAAATGGAGCATGTGTTCTGGGTTGAAAAAGTAGCATGTTACAACACAGAGAGAAACAAGGATGAGGTGAAGCGTGGAGTTTACTGATGGAATTTAATAACGCACACTGAAGGAGAGAATCGCTGGCCTCAAACTGACAGCTAATGAAAGAACAAACTCCTATGGACCTGCCCGGGCCCAGAGCACAAGACCGAGAGATAAAAATGATAAATCATAAATGGCTGGAAGTAGAAGCCAGAAACAGAGGGCTACGTATAGGTAGTTGTTCTTTTTATCAGCAGACCATAGAGGCTGCTGCAGAGGGAATAATGAAAACTGTCCCTGAAATACAAACAGCAAACGTAGGAGAAGTGATGTTTGATTTAAGCATGAAAATAATGATCGCTATGTTACATTATCCTCATGAGACAATAAAAAACATTGAAAAATATAAATGAAAAACCTGGAAGGACATATAGTCTTCTAGTCTTAAAATTCTCATCAGTACCAGTAATAGATAATAATAAAATAAATAAATATACAAGAAACAAAGATGATAAGCAAAGGACTGGGCAACCTGCCAAGATGCCACACACAAGTGAAAGTGAAGCAGACAACTGTTGCTTAGGAGGAACTGAGAAAAATGAAAAAAAGTTAAGGTGAGGAGATTAAACTAATTTGAAAATTCAAGAACTATATATATACATATACATATATATGTATATATATGGTAATATTTACCATATTAATGGTTAGTATTAAAATAATTTAAACATAACCCCATAAAAATGATACAGTAAAATCCTTAAAGCCAGACAAGTTTGAATAATTATTCTTATAATGACACCATGCTGTGTAATATTTGAAAAGCTAAGGTAATTAATTCAGATTTTGTTTATATGAAGCATACATAGATACAGGATGTGTGTGTGTGTGTGTGTGTGTGTGTGCATGTGCATGCACATGGGTGTGTCCTCTAGGCAAGTTTAAAACCAGAAGGGTGGGCAGACAGGTTGGAAAGTCCCTGCAGTCCTGAGGTGCAATTTCTTTTTCTTCTGGGAGATCTGAGATTTGCTTCAAGGTCTCCTTGCTGCTTAATGAGGTCCACCTACCCTAGTAAGGATAACCCCCTTCCTTAAAATCAACTAAGTGTGTTCATCCCATCTATAAAATACTCCAGAGTAATAGATAAGGGTTTGCTTGAATAACTGGATAGGATAGCCTCAAAATGTGGACACATAAATTAATCACCACATTTGGAATCTCAGATAGAAATGTGAGGGCACCGCTAGAAGGAGGACGGAGAAGGCACAGAAGAGTGACAGGAAATTCATACAGGTTAATTCTAATTCTAATTATAGAACTTAAAATAGGAAACATACCTTCTGGATCACAAGAAGGTTTAGAAAAGAGACACCCCCCCCCCCGCAAAAAGACATCTGAAATAGGGAAAGAGGCAAGGTGAAGAAAATGAAACCCAGAGAGCAAAACAAGAAGTTATTCAAGGAAAATATAAAGAATACACTTGCAGGGCCCGGGGAGATGGCTCAGTAGAATAAGCGCTTCTCTGGCAAGCGCAAGGGCCTGAGTTCAATCCCCAGTTCTGCCAAAGAAAAAAGAATAAACTTGCTAGTTGTACAAATAAAAATACCTTAAATTACCCCATAAGGAAAACTTGAGATAGAAATTAAAATGTAATGTGATGTTTTTAACTAGGGAAAATGCTAAAAAATTCTTCAAAATGTAAAGCTAAACATTAAATAGAAGAAATTTAAATTTAAGGCCAAAATGAAAGAGGCTCAAAATTATTAACAAAAAAGATAAAAATCCAAAAAAAAAAAATCAAATAGATAACAGCATTTTACATTAAGATTTTAGTTCCTAGCAAGATCCTGTCAGGAAAGTTTTATAACAGATAATATGGTATATAAATACAAAATCATATGTGTAATAAATATATGGGGAAATTGACAAAAACTAAAATAGTAATCTAAGATTTTACTTAACTCTTTTAATTCTTAACCTTTTAATCAGGTTGTAAAGATTTAAAACTATGAGTCATATAATAAATCCAACTTTGTTTAAGTTTATACAAGAGTACATACATAATTAAAACCATAATATATTTGAATATTTAAAGACTCAGACCACAAAGTAATAAACTGACTAAAACAGCAAATGAACAGGAACCTTAGTATCTTGGAAGATAAGGAAAAGATAAACAACTGCTATATCAAAGAGAACAGAAAAAGCTCCCCAAGAGAATAACTGGGGAATGATCAGTTACAAGAACGTTGGACATGAACTAAGACTGTACTTGCCAGCACATGAAATGCTTTCATAATTGAATGAACAAAAGTAAGGACACTAAACTATTGCTACAAGAAACCAGAAACAAGATGAAAGAACAGGAGCAAAATAACCAGTTAATCTGTTGAAATTAATCAGTGAAAAATAAAGGCAAAAATCAGTGAAGTAGAAGATAGGAAATTAATGAGTTGAAACTCTTAAAAAGAGTGGGTTACTGGGGCTGGGAAGATGGCTCAGTGGAATAAGCGCTTCCCTGGCAAGCGCAAGGGCCTGAGTTCAATCCCCAGTTCCGAAAAAAGAGCCGGTTATGGCCAGCGTGCTGATCAGCAGACCAAGCGCCTGCTCTGGCCAGCACAGGTCCTGTGTTTCGTGCCGGCCCCTTCCCTGGGCGCGCTGAGCCAGCGGCTGAGTCGAGGCGTAGTGGTGCATGCCTGTAATCTCAGCACTGGGGAGGCTGAGAACAGGATCACTACAATCCGAGCTGTGTTAGTGAGACCCTGCACCAAATACATAAATGGATGGGGAAAAAAGAAAAAAAAAAGTGGTTTAACTTCTAGGGACTTCAATTGTACAAAGAGTATGCAAAATTAGACGTGAGAACACAAATAGAATAAGTACAGAAAAATTAAAAGTGTATGAAAATAAGTATACATAACATTTAAAAATTTTTTAAAGAATAAAATTTTATATGCAGGAATTTATTTATTGATTTATTTACCTGGAATTGAACTCATGACCTTGCACTTGTCAGGCAGGCGCTGTGCTGCTGAGCTATATCCCTGAGGAGTCAGTCAGGGTTTTCAGAATCAACTTAAATGATTCCAGTTGGTAAAACAGAATAAAAGTGAAAGAACTGATAATAGTGAAAGGGATAAAATTATTAAAATTCATCCTAGAGAATACATTTGGCTCAGACATAAATAGAGCATGACCTTTCAATCTCTCTAATATCTATGCTGTAACATCTGTTTTGTAATAGCTTCCCAATTAATTTAAGGGCCAAGAATAAATATGTTTAAAAATCATACTATAGGTAATTAATAAAAATCAAAAACTTAAATGATTGTCAAAGATAAGTAGAATGGAAAAATTCTTCAAGCAGCAGCACGTAGAGTCCAGTAATTTATTAAGGAAAATGAGCAGAATTGTGTGAGATTTTTTAAAATAAAAAGTATCAAAATCAAATCATCATTAATTTAATTTATCAGAACACTAGACAGACATAGAGATGGAGGAAGGGGACAGGCGAAAGGGCAGGGGATGGAAAGGGACTCGGATGTGTCAGGCACTGCTACCAACTCCAGGTGAGGAAGGCGGACATCATGCGTGACAAATACGTGTAAAGCAGAAGAAAAGGAGGCCGATCAAGTGATATGATGCGGAGGAGGCATGCAAGGGAGTTTACATGTGCTCTGTACATGTTCCAGCCCCTCCCCCCGGGATGGTAAGCATTATGTAATACACACATGCACTAAGAAATAAAAATGCAAAAGAAAGAATAGACCTCACAGTGTAAAATGTGGTATTTCTGAATGTTAATTACAAAACGTAAAAGCAGTTGCTACACCCAGAAGAGTTTGCATATGTAGCAGTACAGATGGGAGGCCATTAGTTTTAATATATTAAAAGCTCAGGGACAAAAAAAAATGAATGTAGAAATATAATTTCTAATGATATTTCTAAATTGTTTCAGTATGTGAGTTTCAAAAGAAGTCATATATCTGGCTAGCATATTTTGAGTCGACAAACATAAGGAGGTAAAGATGTGCATATTGGAACTAGTATGATCTAGTCGCTTGGTATCTCTGCATGCGTATATGTGGACAAGATACCTAGAAGGATTTACAGCCCAGAAAGTGCTGTATTGGTGAGGTGGCAGGTGCCTAGTAGCTTAATGTGGTTTTTCTATATACAATTTTTTTATTAACTAGATATTACTTTTGTAGTTATTGGAGATAATCATTGAGAAGTTTTGTGAATACATAATCTATATCAAACATTGAACTATGATCTCAAGATGCAATAGCAAGCAAAATTGGATGGATGCCTTCAGATGTCAACCAGGAGTATTGAGTGAGTGTGAAATTATATCTACGATACATTCCAGGAAGAAGGGTGAGGAACCCACCTGTGTGCAGTGACCTCAGGGAGTGAGGCTGGATAGAGAAGACTGTCCTGAGGAGAGACTTCAGAGGTGGGGACCGGCAGACGACGGGCCTTAGTGAAGCAAAGCTGAGTACGGTGGAAGAGTGCTCTAGCTAGAGCAAATACCTTTTAATCGTTCAGCAAGTGCGAGGAATGCTCCGTGCGAAACGTGAATTAGAAGGGTTTGCTGGCTTCTTGAGCTTGCAATCTTAAAGCGAGAGAGAGGGGAATAGTGAACAGGCAAGCACAAGAATTTGAACACTACAGCTGCAGACTAGACTGGGTGCCAGCGAGGAAGGCAGTAGGGGCCAGGACTGGAAGTGGCTGGCGTGGAGAA